TGGCAGATTCAGCATCAGGATGCGAGAGGGTGGGCATGTTCAAACAATATTCAAGAGCTGAAGCCAACACTTGGAGTCACTGCCAGACCATCATATTGGGGCAAACATCTGTAAGTAAATGTTGGATTTGGGTTGTGCTCCAACAGCTGCGAAAGGGAAGGAACAGTCATCTTCCGCACTAAATGAGGGTCTGCCTATGGGAGACCATAGCTCTGGAGCTGGATTGAGCTTCATCCATGCCAGCTTCTCTGGTTCCTTGGAGACTTCTCAGCACTGAAAGCAGTATTGGTGGATGCACTTCCAGAGGTGCTAAATGATGCACACATCACCACCGCCAGTGTGATAATGACTTTATTACATTCTTGTGGAAGGGCAAGTGTGGGAACTACTACATGTATTGACAGACTGTGCTGTAGAAGCCGAGGATTCAGCATTGACTGCTGACATCAGCAACAATACATTGTGCTGTTATAATTGTAATCAATTGTAATCAAGGTCAACTGTCAAACAACCTTGCCCTACCCCAACAGTGTCAAAAATGGCCTGTTGACAGGCCATTTCTAACAGTTCCCAGTGGTGAATGGTTGTGTGAGCAGAAACTTCACTCTTGAGAATGATGTTGCATACAAGTTGCATAAGTCCACATTGATTTGAGCAAATGACACACATATACTAGTTAATGGTGCTACACAGCACATGCAGAATAAAAAATCTAGCAGGTACATGAAGTTGTTTGAGATACAGCATAATAACATGCTGGGGTATAGTTTGGATTTATAAATTACCCATCACAGCCAAGATACAAAGATCTAGTGTGGTGCATGTTCAAGTCTACCGTAATCAAGCCTCTGTGGCTCTTGCACAGCACTCTCTTTCAATCCAGGCTTGTACATCTGGTGTCAATCCAAAAGTACTCTCTGTAGTGGCCAAAGCACCCCCAAGATGCTGAGGGCCCATTGGAGTGCGGGCTGGACGAGATGGTGGCAGCACCTCTGCCGGCTCAACCATCACTTTGGACAAGTCATGTTTGTCCGACTTCTCACATTGCTTTGCTTCACACTCTCTTATTTTATCCTTAAGCCCCTTCCACCGTTGTTTTTTCTTGTTGTTGCGGTCAACTTCCATCTCCTTAGTCAGTGTACTTGGCACATGCACTGTTCCAAGCCATTCCACCAGTCAGTGTCACAAATTCTAGTATTTCTACTATTTTCCCACATTTATTGCATGGTCGTACACCACCGGTACAAGGGGATACAAAAGATGCAACATAGGACATGGGAGAACACCTATCTATAGTAGATTAACCCCTAGAGGCATCTTTATCTCTCTCCATCTTATCATATCTTGAAGTTATGTTGATCTAGATATAGGGATAAACCCTGGAGTTAGCATAAAGGATTTGTCATGCAGGAATATCTATGTACCTGGCATAGAAGCACCTATGATCTCATAGATCAACAGCTGATCAAGCCTAGATCTCCATAGATTGTCAGCTGATAAGGCCTGGACTCTTATCATGGTTGATCCCCAGTGAAAACACCTCCGATTGAAAGCGACTGCTGACGACTGTATCCGACAGCCCTGACTAAAGGTGACTGTCGGAGACTGACAGTGACTGTGGGAGTAAAGTACCTTTAGCATATGCACTGCCACGCAAAGGAAACTGTCGGCTAAAAGCACAATGCGGAGTTAATGATGTTAATTAGCCGAACAGAACATCTATCTCTAGCCGAGACGCACTTTTTTTTTGCCTCTTGCCTCTTACCATTAGTATTGTCAATGTCTAGTCATGCTGCACAACCTGGATGACATTGCTCGTGGGCACACCACTTGTTCTGGGCGGGTCTCCTTGTCTGTCTGCTTGATCTGGACTGCAACATACTATTTCTCTCTCTGAAAACACCTGCTAAATCATACTCAAACAAAAATAGCCTCTGAGCCAATGTGCCCAATACGCCTGGATTATAACCCTAACCCACTTCCAAAAGTGGTGTGATGAGGCCCTTGAGAGCATCCGGTGATGCAATGAGGCAAAAGTTCAGGGTATTATGAGACCGTACACATCTTACCTTAGATTTTCTTCAAAATACTATCACTGTGAGAACCACCAAGTGTTCTGAGCGTCTTCCGGTGTTCTGAGTGATCTGGTTCCGGAGCTGCTGGCCGCGACCCGACCAAGTCGCGTTCCGGCGCAGGTTCTATCAAAGTGATCAAATCTGCTAATCCTACCTCGACCACACAATTGCAAGTGAACGTACAACATTGCAATGGCACCAGGTCCGCAAAAGCAGATGAGAAAGAAAAAATCACGGTCACGTAAGCTCATTGAATGCAAATGCCGCACCTACTGTTGCCCAATCCCCGGAGGCGTAGCCAAAGAAGTCAGCAAAGACACGTCTGTGATGCACCAGAAGGTCGAGAAGGCGCGAGTGACATGAGAAGCAGAGACAGCTCAGAGACTTGCAGAATGGGAGGCAGCAGGTGGACCTTCTGCAGAGCCGGCTTACAAGAGGAGACAAACTGAGGCCACACAGGTGAGTAACCATGCAGATTTACTCTAGATGGCTAAACAGCTACAGCAAACTGAGTCTATGTGTTGCAATCACTCACGAACAGTCACGACCAGTCATGACACTTACGATCGCAACAAGGACTCGTGAAGTGCGCTGTCATTCCGCTTCACTTTACTTTATTCAGTCACGTGACCGGCTACCTCCATAACTGGTCACATGACCTGGTTTGGCTACTGTACATTACCGGCTTACCTAATCATTCTCTAAAATTCCCGGACATTCCATATGACATCATGATAACGTCAATTACGCGTCATGACTGACATCATACATACATCACTCATTAACCATAAGTAGTAGTACTCCGCACAGCATGGTCTGTGCGTCCACTGTCATTACCATAGTAGGTAGACTGTTTGGCTCGACCAAACAAAACTGTACTTGTATATAGTCTGAGCAATCTACGCCCCAAGACTCTAAGTGAGTTCTTGTGGGAATCCCTCCTAATAAGCTCTACACCTAGTCTTGCCACGTCGGCGAGCAGTCAATACTCCTCAACCCTGCCCTTACCCCTTTCGTTGTCATCCCGTACGGGGCTTCTTCGTCTTTCCCTTGTGTGGTCTTGCGTGTAGTTGGTTTCTGGGGCTCGCGCCTTAGGAGTCGCTCACACTATGTCTATTGAACAGGGGCAATGTCCACTCACAGGCACAGGGAACATGGATCTGCTGGCAGATCATGCCGAACAACACTCAGGCAACAGTCTTGGCAACCACCAGGGCGGCTCTGGTGACAATCTTGTGGACTTAGGCAACCACCCTAGCGGTCTTAGTGCAGCTGACCGTGCCAGGATGCAGCCTACTGTCAGCAAGGAGCTTGAGGGTCTATCTGATGATCCTTGCGAGGATCTTGTGGGCGGTCTAGGCAATGAACAAGTCTATGGCAACCCGTATGAGGACCTTGTGGGCAATCTAGGCAACAAAGATGACTCTCGTGGTCCTGCTGACAATCTAGGCAGCAATCTAGGTGACAAACAGAACTTGGGCAACGAGCACTGCACACTGAGTGATGCTGATCGAGCTAGAATGCAGCCTAGAGTTGAGGACGCCGAGGAGGAACTAGATGATTCTGTGCGAGGTGACCATCTCACATGTGGCTGGACGCTTGAAGATATCAAGCAGGTCTCTCGGGAAACCATATTAGAGCATGCAAAGTGGTCTATCGAATTTATAAAGCAGATTCGAAATGCTTCGCTAGACAATCAGCACAACTACATGACTCCAGATGCCATCCACAGCCTCCGTAACCCTTCAAAGGAACTCAATGGTCTTGCTGACAAGGATATGCTACTGTGCATAGAGTGGTATCTCACTAATCCTACAGATCGGCAGTACAAGGCCCTCTGCGCAGCTGAGCTGAGGCAACACCCTGGGATGAAGGTGTACTCTATGGATGCCGTGAAGAAGCACATTGAAAAACTCACCGGTATCCAGCCTATCCGGGTGCATATGTGCCCTGGCCCTTGCCTTGCGTACACTGGCCCCTTTGCCAGTATGTCTGAATGCCCTCTGTGCAAAAAGCCTCGGTATGACCCAAGGTTCCCTGGGAAGAAACGACCTCTCTTGACGTTCTCTACGCTGCCAATTGGACCCCAGCTACAGGCACTATGGCAAAACCCAGAGCGCACCGGAAAAAATGGCATATCGAGACACCGAAACTGCAAAAATACGTCAGGCTCTCAAGGAAGCTCGCGGTGTCATAGACTCATACGGCAACATTTATCATGGTACTCAGTACCTTCGCGCTGTCCAGGATGGTCGTCTCAAACCTGGTGACCCTGTTCTAATGTTTTCTATTGACGGTGCACAACTCTACAAATCAAAGCAATCTGACTGTTGGATATATATCTGGGTAGTCTATAACCATGCCCCGACAGATTGGTACAAGAAAAAGTACGTTATCCCAGGCGCTGTCATACCAGGCCCCAAAAAACCCAAAAATCTTGATTCGTTCCTATTCCCTGGCTTTCACCACCTTGCTGCAATTCAGCGTGAGGGCCTCAAGATCTGGAACGCATATCTCCGCAAAGAGAGCATCCAGAATCCTTTCTTCTATGTGGCCTGCGCTGATGGACCTGGTATGGCTTTTCTCAATGGCATGGGCGGGCATAACTGCAAGAAGTGCTGCCGCTTGGTCTGTGGGTTCAAAGGTCGCCACAAACCTGGGCAGCCAACGTACTATCCAGCCTTACTCGAACCTTGCACTTGCACCTGTCATGGCGACAACCATCAACATGACGACGTCAACATTAACTCACTACATCAAAATTGGCCCAACTATCAGGCAGACATGGCACGGATCGCACGCTGTCAGACCAAGGTCGAATACAAGCAGGCGCGTCTCGATACTGGCATTGTGCGGCCATGTATTCTTGCTGGATTTCCTGACGAGAGCATCCTATCAGTCCCAGACTGCTATGGATCTGATATCATGCACCTAGCTGCCTTCAACGTCACAGACGAGATGATTCCACTCTGGCGTGGTACCTTTATGCTAGACGACACCCTGGATCCCCCCGACTCAAAGGACGACTGGCACTGGGCAGTTCTTGTTGGCGACACATGGGAGCGACATGGTGAATACGTTGCATTTGCTCTGATGTATCTTCCTGGCTCGTTTGACAGGCCGCCTCGTAACCCCGCTGAAAAGATCAACAGCGGTTACAAGGCTTGGGAATTCTTGCTGTACTTCTATGGCATGTGTCCTGCCCTTCTTCTTGGTGTCTTACCCGAGCCGTATTATGGCCATTTCTGTCGTCTTGTCAAGGCACTGCGTATTATGATGCAGCATGACATCTCTGCAGCACAGCTGCTTAAAGCTCACATTGAATTGCTCACTTTTGTAGACAATTTTGAGCGGATTTACTATCAGCAATGTCCTGATCGGCTGCACTTTGTTTGTCCATGGCTCCACGCCCTCACGCACCTTGTTCCCGAGGCTTGCAACAAGGGACCACCAATTTGCTCCTCGCAGTGGACTATGGAACGAGCCATTGGGAGCTTGGGGCGCAAACTTCGTCAGCATTTGAACCCATATGCAAATCTGGAGCAACGAGCGATTAATCGAGTTCAAACAAACGCCCTTGCGATCATTTACCCTGAGTTGGACACTTCTGATACCCTTCCTCTCCCCCATGGCACTATAGATCTTGGACAAGGCTATGTCCTTCTGGGAGCAAAAGACCATTGCGCTGTTGACTTGCCTCAGGAGGAGCACTATGTAATATCACATGCTCTCAGGGAACACAGCATTGAGACGTTGCCTAACTTTCGGCTTCAGCATTGGGCTCGCATGAGGCTCCCCAACAACCAGGTTGCACGCTCGCTGTGGAAGGAGGATCTAATGAAACATTGTCCCAGGATTGCTCGGAATATCAAGGTGATTTATTTGATGGATTACAGATATTTTGTACTAATGATGCATAGTTCGAGAGCAATGGCAAGACTCGGTTTGCCAAAGTTCAATACTACTTTTATGTTGAAGGCATACCATTTGCGTTGGTCTCACTGTATGGCAAGCCAGACCAGGACCTTCTCAAGCTGTCACGTGGCACTGTCATTGCCTGCCAGCATCCACATGAAGTCAAACAGCTTGCTGTCATTGACGTTTTTTTGATCAAGTCCGTTGTTGCCATGATTCTGCACGAATTCCCTATTGTCAATCGCATGCTTTGCTACTTAGTCGAAAAACCCGGACTCGAGATTGCGACCTTTGCTGGACACGAGGAGATTGTAGAAGACAAGTAATTGCATAATGTACGTACATACATTGCAACTACTATAGCAAGGCATGTAAAGAGCATCAGAAATAGAGTGGGAAGTAGACATGTGCAGTAAAAAAAAAACGGGAACTCTCTACTCCATTGCACAACACTTGCCAAGGACTGTCTCCGAAGGGGCAGATTCGGCTGAGATGGGCTCAGGGCCCTCAAGCACCTGCGTAGATTGAGTGTTGGTGGGCAAAAGCATGGGCGATTGAGCATGCCCGGCGAGGTCAGAGTTGGCGTTGCTGGAGCCTGCATGCAAAGGGGAGCGGTCTACACCAGCAGAAATATTGACGCTGGGATCAATGTCAAACTCCGTGTTACACAGAGTAGATGACTTCGGATCCTAGAATTGTTTAAGTTAGTACAGGCACTCGCGCGTGTAGAAAAAGGCTCACCTCAAAAAAGCCACAAAACAAAGAAGGGGGCATATCCTCGTCCTTGACTTCAACCTTGACGCGCTTATAGGTGCAAGTGAAACTGGCGGGAGATGCAGCGCTGCGCATGGGACAACAATTTACACTCCACTTCTCGGGGATATCGTTATCATCGCGTGGATGGCTAGGGTGATCCACTGTCCTGAGCCTCACTGGCACTGGCTCAACGAAGGTGACATCAACCTCGTTACGAGAGCCAAGCTCAGCGTTGACGAGGGTGAGAGAATGGCGGGGAACAGATGCAGCGGAGTGATCAGTGGTCAGAAGAGCTGTATCGGTACCAAGGTCAACAGGGGACGCCGCAGACTCAGGAGCAGTAGTATCTGCAGTGACTTGAGAGGCCTTTGCTTCAAGCTGTTGAGCAAGGAGATCATGGAGTGTGTTGCCAGAGTTGGTGAGCAATCCCGTGTTGCTATTGAACTCCACAGCGCGGGTGCTATGGGAGTGGCGAGGTTTTACAACGAAATACTGACGCATATAGCTGAGGAACTGGATGCATCTGGGGATAACAAGTGTGTACTCACCATGGGATCCAATGATTTCGGTATGAATTCAAATGCATACTTGGTGGCTAGAGAGCAGTTGAACTCGGTGACAATGACATTGCCTTTGATATTGCTGCCCCTTTGATATGGTGCAACGTGACTGGTGGTACCCTCCCCCTCTTGAAGGCAATGACCAATTGTCTTTTTTTGAAACACAAAGGTGTGGGCAGGAATGCGGGAAATAGGAGGCATTGTCTGAATGGAGTTGTGTTGGTACAATTTGTTATGACAGGAGGCAAGAGGCAGAGGCACTGCCAGGACATACACGCGTCGGTTTTGCAAAGAGCGTGTGAAATCATGATTAGATCATCATCACACTGCATACGCGCGTCTTATCTGTCCTGGGTCTTTGGTCTGCTCTGTCTGCTCGCTGCGCTGCAAAAAGATGCAACACTTGAATCACCTACGCACTACCACATCAACGTCAAGTTTGGCCGAGGAGAATGAAACTGGTAGATCTGCCTCCGTTGTCCACGGTTGCTTCAGCTTGGAATATACAGGGCGTAACTATGCGGTACGGACTTAATTTCATCAACTTGTCCATTTTGGTAATATTGGCCTCATGTACCAGGAGCCCCCTTATACCCAAATAGACTGGCATGCCGAGGCCGAAGGTCTTCATGAAGCACTTGAACGCATTGGTCAGGAAAGAGACCAGGCACTGCGCCAAAGAGATGCAGAGGCCTCTAGAGCAGACGGGTTGCAGTGCGTTCTTATGTTTGGATTATTTTATGGATATATGCTTACTTCTACACAACTTATGTTACTAGGCAGTGCCTGAGTGCAATGACACAAGCACTGGCCTCAGGTAATGTCTCGCCCGCTGTCCCTCCCACGGAGGCTCCAGCTGGTGGTGCATCTGCATCCGCACCTGCCCCACAATCTCAACAGCTTCCTCCGCTGCCCGAGTTATCCGAAGGCATGGACTCAATCTCCTTGCTCGATTACGCCAACCCATTTACGCGCCTTACCTTTGATGACTACAAAGCGGTGGAGGACTCGTGGACCAAGGCCAGTTGGGAGAAAGCCGAGAGCGTGCACAGGGAGAAAGCCGCGCTGCTTCACGACCCCAAGATGAACAAGCAGGGCCGTGCACGACAGCTAAGTGGCATCAACGTCAATGAGTTATTCCTGATGAACAAGATGGGAGAGCCGATCAATGGGTTACAGCAGAAGGAGACTCACGAGGCAATCCAGGGCATCTTTGAGCTCTTGCTCGGTGAGGTAAAGACAGAGGGCTGTTGGAATTCAGTGGACGAGGAGTGGGAGAAAACGCTAGCAAACGCGTAGCGAACTCGATTTGAAGGTGTCGGGTATAAGTACATCATGTATAGTAGCCGAAACTAATATCTACGTGATGCGATAATGATGCGACGTCAAAGAAAAAGATAAGATAAGCGCCGAAGCGCACGGTTAGGTACAATGAGTCGTATGAGCTGACGCTCGTATGGCTATGTATTTCCAACACACCCCCGCGAGCGAAGAACGTACGACGGATAAATAAACAAAAGGGGGCACAAGATCACGAAAATAAACAAAATATCAAATGAAAACGAAACGTACGTGAGCGATACACCCCCGCAAGCCTAGAAGGCTACATCAGAGTCGGACTCTTCTTCGTAGACGGCGCCGGCAAAGCCAGTGGCAGTGCGGGTGGCAGTGCGAGCGGCAACAGCAGGCGACGGCGCAGTGGTGACAGTACGGAGGGGGCAGTTAGCTTGATAATGCCCCTTCTGACCGCACGTGAAGCACGTAATGTGCGACAAATCGGGGACAGCACCGGCAAGCTGCGAGGTGGCGGCAGGGACTGGCGCCCGGCGCACGACACGACGAGGGGCGTAGGTAGCAGCGAGTGCTGCGTCTTCTTCAACGGCGGCATCTTCGGCGGTTTCGGCGGCAAGGCGCGACTCCTCGTTGAGCAGGCGGGAGATCACGAGGTCGAGGGTGAGGTCGTCGGCAGGGGTGGAATCGAGGGCGACAACGAACGTGCGATACGCATGGGGAAGGCCCATCGTGAGAACGAGGATGAGGTCTTCGTCATCGACAGAGACACCGATCGCGCGGAGCTGGAACGCGATGCCACGGACGGCGGCAATCCAGTCGGACATTGTCTGACCGGTCTCAACGCGCATGGTGAGGAAGCGGCGACGGAGGGCGAGGCGAGAAGCAAGACCACGAGCGCGATGGATCCGCTCGAGTTCGGCCCAAACATCGGACGCACGGGGATCCGTCATGTGTGCAAGCTGGTCAACCTCGACGTTGAGGATAAGCTCGGCGCGGGCTTCGTCGTTCTTGCGCGTCCAAGAGCGCATGGCGGCGGAGTTCGGCCCGGTCTGCGGCTGCGGTGTGTTCCCGGAGGCAACATCCCACAGGTTCTTGCGGGTGAGCAGGGCATGGGTCAACACGGCCCAGATCTCGTAGTTCTTGTTGTTGAGCTTCGGCATCGAGGACTTCTCGGTCATGGCGGCGACAGTGACTGGGATAGGGGTGACAACAAATAGGGTAACCGACAGGTGCGGCGGAACGGCGACAGCAGCGAGGGGAAACGACACGGGAGGGTAACGAGCGACAACAAGTGGTGTTCGACAACCACAAGCGAAGGATACGGCGGCGACGGCAACGGCGAGCGACAAAAAAAGACAGAAGCAGGTGTTAGGCGACCTTTGGCGCACGCGAGGAGGAATAGACGAGGGAGCGACGAGTTTTGAGTCCAATGGACTTACGCGTTTGTGTTGGAATTCAGTGGACGAGGAGTGGGAGAAAACGCTAGCAAACGCGTAGCGAACTCAATTCGAAGGTGTCGGGTATAAGTACATCATGTATAGTAGCCGAAACTAATATCTACGTGATGCGATAATGATGCGACGTCAAAGAAAAAGATAAGATAAGCGCCGAAGCGCGCGGTTAGGTACAATGAGTCGTATGAGCTGACGCTCGTATGGCTACGTATTTCCAACAAGGGCATGCCGCATACCTGGGGTTCAATGGACGTTAACATGAAGAACTGGCTGTGGAAGGCAGTCCGCATCATCTGTCCGGTATTCCGACTCGACGGCAACAACTGGAAGTTCAAGGATCTTCTCAAGGACCTCTACTCCCGCTTTCACCGCTCGAACTGCCAGCCACATAACCAATGGGCAAAGAAGCATGTACGCGCAGCAAGTGCGGAGCCACGTCCCTCCCAAAAGCGAGCCAAAACCTCTGCGCCTACCGACGATGATGGCGGGTCAACAGGCAACAGTACCAATGACGACATCGGGACGACGGGTGAAGGTACTACCATCAACAGCGTCAGGACAACAGGTGAAGGTGCCGACAGCAACACGGGGAGCGCGGGCGAAGGTGCCAACAGTGACGCAAGGGCTGGCGAAGGTGCCGATAGTGATGCGGGGAGGGCAGGCAAAGGTGTAGTTCATGGCGAGTCCGAGGCTGCTAATGGAGAGATGTTGGACTCTCAGCAAACCTCTGAGCAGTGCAATAGTCCTGAAAGACAGGCAAACTCCGAGACGCACAGCAGGGATATGGAGCAGGAGGAGGAGCCAGGGGAGATGACTCGTATTGTAGACCCACTGTGAGTACACACATGCATTGATTTCTGTTGCTGATGATCAATTTTGCAGCGCTACGGCCTTTGTGAGACACGAAAGCATCACCTTGAATAGGTATGTGTATGAAGTTGGCGTATTTGCTTTTGTAATGATTTACTTCCCCCAGGCTGGAGACCAGCCATGCCCCTGCTGCCATCAATCCCAACCTCTTGAATCTGTCCGAGGCCCCTTTGTCCTTGACCTCCATGCCTGCCGAGAACCAAGGATTGCCACCAGGTGCTACCGAGTCCGAAAACTCAGGCGAGCATGCTGCGTCCGGTCAGGGCAGCCAAGGGGACGGGGAGGAGCACGTCGGGACTACCGTGTTGGTGTCACAGAGCTCGCCTGCAACCGGTCGCAAAAAGAGCAAGTTTGTGGTGCCTCAGACCATAAATGCAAAGTAAGTTTATACTCATTCTGGCACGCACACATTTATGAGGGTGTACATAGATGGATGTGCATTCGTGCTTGGATTGCCGAAGATTCTGGTGACCGTGCTGGTTGCTCTCAGGCATACTACGATAAGTACTGGGAATCCGTCGAGGACAAGGAGGTACGCCCCTTATTTTCTCAAACTGAGCGTATCTAACTTGTATCTAACCGCGTGTTCAGAATTGGCAGAAACAGGCTGCCGAAGCAGCAAAACAGGCGGGGGTCCATCCTTGTCGCAAGGCTTGTACTAGGTCCAAGAGGAACGTACAAGCTTGATTTGTGTGTCTGTATTATGTTTCTCTTTGACCTATGTGTTTTTCCTTTTTATTTCCCAGCATGTGCCAGTGTTTTGTACGTTTCACCTGCGTATTTTTATTCCTACATTATTGCCGTCGCTTGCCGTCATTTGCTGTTGCCCCAAATCATTCCCTGTCACTTTTATTACCCTATTATTGCTGTTGCTTGTTGTCATTTGCTGTTGCTCGTTGTCCTTTGCTGTCCTTTGCTGTCACTCGTTGTCGCTCGCTGTCACTGCATGTATTATTTGTACGGATCCAAATCCATTGTTATCCTGATTTAGAGACTGTAAGCGAATGAGTCTGACGGATTCCGACTCTCTGTGACTGTAATCTACGTTCAATTTGACCTCAATAGCATTTTCTCTCAGTCGCGTCTTGTCTGTGCCTGTTGCACAGAGTCGGTGGTTGTCTGAGTGAGTCGCTGCACTGACTGCAGGGAACTGGCACTACGCACTCTTTTCTATCTCGCACCGACACTCTGTGACTGTGTCTGACTGCAAGTGGTCATAGTTTTGGCACTCACAGTCACAGGCAGCCACACTGTCACTATCAGTCGAACATGGTCACAGCAAAGTCGTCAGCAGTTGCTTTCAATCAGAGGTGTTTTCAATGGGGTTGATCAGTAGATAGTATCAGTAGTTCCACATGGTTTCTGTTTTGGACACAACAGGGGCAACACTCTAAACTCTTAAACAGCTCTGAAACTTCGGAGGAGGTTAGAGGTAGGCAGAATGGAGTGGAGCGTAGGAGCGTAGAAGTGTAGGTGTACAAGTGGCCAAAACCACAAGGCTAGGTGATGGAGGATCTCAATGAGTGCCGGTGGTGAGCATGAAAGCACTAGTCCCAATGACCAGAAAGTCAAGACATCCCAAATTTTGGTGGGAGTGGTCGGCACGGCTTCAGTGCGGCTTCGGGCTGGGGCTCAACCAAACAGCCACACAGCCACAATGAAAGTCAGTCCTGCGTGATGCCAGCGTGACGTGCGCAGTTCATTTCCCTTAGCTACTATCATTATCACTGCCGCCACCACCATCACCATGTGTCTAGGAGACTTGGACCTTGGTGATCTGTATGAGCTTGTGCACCAATATCCTCAGCTACAATGCATCTGATTCACCCAACTCTCACAATTCATTACCATTTGCAGCAAGCTCAAGGATGACATTGTATCAGTATATCCTCATTTAGTTGACACGGAGTCCTCGGTGCCGCCTGCTCTCCCTTACATTCACTCCATTTATCTATTCTTAGCAACTTCTATCCCTCTCTCGTTTATCCCGACCATTTGGGATGCTACCAAGGACACTATATGGGAGCTCTCTGGTGATCTCCAGGAACATCAAAGGACTATCAATGATCTCTACAAGTTGTATGGGTGGGAACGGGGTATTAGTGAGTATTTTACTGCTTTGCCATTACTCGCAAGTGAATGAGGAGCAGCTCGCATCCAGCTACATCCCCATATCCGCTCTTGCATCCAACAAGGATGCAAGAGGGAAGGTGAACTTCAACAGCAGAGCACCGAAGAGGTGATTGTCTTCACCCTCACCAGCAGCATTCAGCGTGCTAAGGCCACAAGTCTTTATTGCCCCAGTGAGTCTCGCGACCCAGTGTCATGCTTCCTTACCTTCTTATCAACCTCACATGCATAGGCTGCAAAGTCACGTATACTGACAACTACTACATCCACCAAGGTGCCCAACTACGCACTTACTATGATCACATGCCCCAATACATCAAAATGAATGAGCACCATTTTGTAGAGACAAGGATTGCGGAGAAGTGGACCAGCTCCATGGTTTCCAGCATGTCAGTCCATTCTCTTGCCATTTGTTTCTGGGTTAGGGTTAGGGTTAGGGTTAGGGTTAGGGTTAGGGTTAGGGTTAGGGTTAGGGTTAGGGTTAGGGTTAGGGTTAGGGTTAGGGTTAGGGTTAGGGTTAGGGTTAGGGTTAGGGTTAGGGTTAGGGTTAGGGTTAGGGTTAGGGTTAGGGTAG